GCAGTGAAACACAGTAGAAAATCAAGTAGCAGAGGTAGGTGAGGCTAGATCTTGGAGGTTCTTCACAGCCAGACTTAGAGATGATGGATGAGACAGGAGGGAGCCGTAGTGTTGGATAAATGACATCTTTTAATTAAATTAATCTGGCAATATTGCAGAGGTGAGACAGGAGAGTCTGGAATCACTAAGTCTATTGAATTGATTCATGTCTGCAGTGCCATGGGCCTGACCTCTGGTGGTCCATAATCCTGAAGGGAACTGAGAGAGCTCCACTCAATTTAAAAGGACTAGCCACCAGAATGAGAAGAATCTGAATGCTGGAAATGATTTCACAAAGTGCTCTTTTGCTGCCCTTCCTTGTTAAAGATCTAGAATGGCTGTTGTAGTTGTTGTGGTTCTAAGGTGCCTAACACTCCTCTACCCCTTAAAACCACAGTCTCCAGAACTCCTCCCCATCTATACTTCATAATTTTTCCTTTTAATTGGAAGCCAACAGTGAGCTCGGCAGGCACACTCTGATTGTTAATTGGAATGTCCATTGGTGATGCTTGCTTGGTGGTGCTCTAATTACTTGCCCTGTACCCTTTTAATGCCCCCCCATTCACATCTGAAACTGAAAATATCTGTTCAACCCCTTGATCTTAGCAATTAGTTAAGTGGCATGCTACTGGATACCTGGGGGTGGCCTTGCACACTTAACTCATCTCTGTTCAGATCTGACAGGGAATCTTCTCAAGCAGCCACATCTGTAATTAGTGCATAGTTGCAAGACAATTCCTCAGGAGCGGGGTCTCCAGGTGAATGACACTGGCATTGTTTGTTGAACTGTTAGCAAAGCAAAATTTGAGGACCCTCTCACCTCAGACTTTCTGCAGAAGTCAAGGACCTTTGAAAGAACCTCATTGAGGAGCTGTTTCTTACATAGTAACTTTTTTCAGAAGCTCTGCAAGTTTGGGGAAGCTAGAAAGTCTTTAAAGAATGCTTTCTAGTGTGTGCCAGAGTTTGAGAATCACTGTCCTAGACCAGTAGCTTCACAGCGCCAGGCAGCGAGGCTCAGGGAGGTAGGAAAACTTTAGAAACACCTGGGAAGGACAGAGGCTGAGGGCAAGGGTCAGTGCTTTCCTCTTGGAGGTGACACGGTTGTCCAGAGGAAAAAGCTGTCAGCAATGAGGTCTTGGTTTTTGGCCTCATCTGCCTTGCGAAAGAAAACCTGACTTAGCCTTTGCTTGCCCTGCACTCTAGAAAGTCAGTCTCCAGGACGATCTCTCTGTTGGATCTCCCCCCTCAAGGCTCTTAATTGGAAATTGTGTTATTAAATAAATGAAGAGGTTTATTTTCCAGACTGAGTGAGTCTCCATCTATATACTGAGCAGGACCTTTTTTGATTGTTAAGCGGAAGTAAGTCTCTATTTCAACCTCTTATGATGAATGCTTACTATATAAGAAACGGCTCCTCAATGAGATTCTTTTGAAGGTCCTGGACTCTAGCATCTTGGTCAAAATGCTAAATGTGCCGAAGGCATTAATACCACATTTGTTCTGGGGCTAGTGGGAGCCTAAGAATAGAAAGTCCATCAGCTACCAAGTATCTTGTCTTTTAGTTATTAAGTGGTTACTTAACCAGGAATGATTTAGGGCAAGTCAGTTTTCTGCTATCAGAGACAGAACTAGTGCTTTTTGTTTTGCTCTTCAAACACCACATTTTCCACCCTATTGGCAACATGTGCCTACCCAAAGACTCTTGTGATGTGGGCATGCCTCAAAAAAAATATTCCAAATTTAAATGTGTGACCCAGAGTCATTTTTGTCATTTTAAATAACAGCACAATTTCTTTACTAGCTTTTGAAACTTCAGTGTATTTAGATAAGGAAACTCTCCTGCTTTCCACAAGGAGGAACAAGAGTTTGTAGCTCATTCTCCACCTCTCACTGAGCCCTGATTTTTAAGATAAAGTCCCTTGGGGAGAAAAATAAATCTTGGTGGGCCAACTCTTTGGTTGTTGAATCGTGTATTCTCTCTTTTTTAAAAGATCAATGAACTTCTCCATGGGGTGTTTCCATTTGAGGAATGAAATAATGGGGCTTTGGAATGTCCACACAGTGGTCTCTGATTGTGAGTCCCTGAACTGTGGGCACTTGGAGGCTCTATCTCAGAGGGTATCCTGATAAACAGTTCCATTGCCACTTGAAGAGCCAGGCAGGGCATTTCTCCTGGGGCTCTTGTGGCAAGCAGGAAATAGCTACAAGGGACATGAAATGCATTCCCTGATCACTCAGGACTCACCTGAGTCCCAAGGCCTGGCCCTGTTTTGCCCTAGTTTCCTGCTTATTTCCCCACTCCATTCATTTATCAGGCTGTGCTCTTTATTACCTGTGAGCTTCAATTGGAGGGACAGCCACTCATGCCAGCCACATAATTTACTTCTTTTATTATTTCAGCTTAAAGTCTAGGACTCGAGGAGTGATAATGAGATGATGATTAAATCGGCTCTAAATTTTTGAAGGGACACTAGAGCAAAGGTTTATTATGGTCCCCACATTGTTTTCTATAAATCAAGAATGTTGTTAAGCTGTGTTCTCAACACGGTGCGCTCTAGCTTGAAGCCCTTTCATTGTTGTGTTTGGGTACTGTCAATAGAAAAGGGGACAACCGAAATGATGGGAGGCAAGGAGCAATAGAAAGAAGTTGCCTGTTGCTTATGCTTCTGTGGATATCTACTTCCATTTATCTTAACCCCAAAATATTCTTCATAACATTGAGCTATCGTCTGTCCATCTACTACTCCATTGTGTACCACAGCTTAGCAAATACTTTTCCAACCAGATATATTCCCAGGGTACCACTAACTTAATTGTAGAGGCATGGAATCTATAGGAGACTGAGAACTTGTGCGATCCCACCAAAATGCCACCAATACACCAAGGTCCTTTGTGAGGGCCACAGTACGATTTTTATTTGGCCTCCATAAAGTAATAGTAGGTTTTCTATGACAAACTTAAGAACCACGCCTTTCTCCCTGTCTTCTTGACTATGTGAACGTCAATCTAGATGAATGCAAATTGTTAATGCATAAGCTAAATCCTTGCTAGCGAGAATGCACGAGTGCCATATTTGCCTGCAGATCTCTCTGCCCTTGCACACACACACACACACACACACACACACACACACACACAAACATACACACACCCAGAGTTTTTCAGAAGTGACTTCCAGTGATTCCCATAGCAGAGCCACACTGTTTTGTCAACCCTGGGTATCTGGTTGATTTTTTTTAGGCAACCTTCATATACTTGTTTTCAATGCAACTATGGTGACTAAGAACCCTGATACCTGTACTACTGTGGATCTTGTTCTTAAAACTAAACAAAGCACTACCAGGGCCCAAGAATTCCAGAAGCATCTAAATTAATACCTGTGTTTCAGACCAGGCAAAAAGGAGTGGCAGGCTGTGATGTTTACCTCCTGCCTCCTTTGGCATTGGACTAACCAAACGCCATCTTGTCTTTCCTCCCCCATCCTTACCTTAGAGAAAACCTGCAGTTGTCATTTTCTTTGCCAAAGAACTGTTTTTCAGTGCTGGTTTTGTTCAGCCTGCTTAGTTTGTACATGCAAATGTAGGTGACTTTCCCTGCTTGTCTAGAGGTTGACCACGGATTTGTGGTTTGGGAGACGACAAAGGGCATGTTTGACTTGTAATCCAGCTGAAGAATGGAGAGGGCTAGTGCATGTAACATGGTCGGAGATTTGCACAGACTGACTCCACGCCTCCAAGTGGGCCCCGCGGTCCCCAGCTGCACAAATTCCTGCCTGTTGAACGGCCAAGCACTGTCCTTATGAAAGTACCACTATACTAACTGGTATTGCAGCCCATGATTTCCAAAGTGGTAAAGCTTGGAAATCCTTCATCCTGCACTTCTCAAGCTAACTCTCTATTACAGGGAGAGATTCATATTGCTCCCCAGCGGGGGAAACCTGCTTCCCAGGGTTTTCATTTCTCCCCTTTCCCTCCCCTCACATAATTTATGTACCTGACCTGGGTGTTATCATGTGTTTACTGATAACAATACTATGAATTTTCATTCACAGCTTTGAGATGTTTAAGAGGCTTTCCTGCTTCCCATCCTGCCCAGACCCTGGGAATTTTCACTCACTGATACTCTGATCAGTTTGATGCAGGAAAGCATACAGAAGTGAAGTACCAGTTTGTATAGTTGTACCCTTTTGAACCAATAGAGTGTGCTGGGGGTGCTCATTGGCTGCTTGACACCACACGAAGCCAATTAACCTGCATGCCAAATAATAAAAAAGAAAAAGGAAAACATTAACCCTTAGAGCACTGCTTCAACATTTTGGTTTAATAGTCTTGGATTTTATCAGTTGGGCAATGCTTCCTTTCTCAGATCGGTGTGCTGCACAGCAAATCTACCCCTAGTTCAGCCAAAATATCCACCAGGATCCTCTCCCTGCAGCTGTATCAAGATGCCCCTGGGCCTTTATTCATATGCTAAGACTTTTATGAGATCCACAATACAGCTGTTGTGTTTAATGGAAAATGGGCTACACTTCCAATGTTCTGGGGGGCATGAGGGGTCTGATTTTTAGTCTTCTTATGTGTCTTCTAAAGTAAGGAAGTCAGTTCTTTAAGGGTTAATATGAAATCCAGGAATTTGGTGGTCTCTCCTGCTTGTCCTTCCTCCAAGGTGTCTGCATGATCCTCTTTAGATTTTTTAGTTCAACTGTTGAATGATAATAAAAAAATCTGTATATAAAATTACAAAAAAAACCCCAAAAGCAAATGAAAGAACCAAACACTGAATGGTTGAATGGAAAGCCCCTGGCAACGCTTGCTTGATTATCACGGGGGTAGAAAGACCAAATGTTTTATTTGATGAACGTTCATTTTGTCCTCTACCCTGTATGCCACCAGTTCTCAGCTTGTGAAGATGTGATGATGTTTTTCATTTACTTCTTGCTTTTTCTTTTTCCTGTCTAATAGCCCAATAGAATCCTGCCAGAATTTCTACAAAGATTTCACATTACAGATCGACATGGCTTTCAACGTGTTCTTCCTTCTCTACTTTGGCCTGCGGGTAAGTTTGGCAGGATGACTCAGTCTTGCAGTGGGATGTGCGGGCTATACCCAGGGATCACCCCCCAGCCATATCTGCTGTTTTGGACATGGTGAAGTCCAGTGGTCCTATGATGAACAATGCACCTGAACTCTGACTTCCAGAGGATGAGGGCTTCCTTTTCTTAACTATGTTTTCTGGATATTTTGTTAAATTTGTTTCAAAGGGGAGAAACAGGATTGAAAATGATGGCCTCTACTGGCCCTTTATTCAACCATGAATATTGGTCCTTCAAAACAAGCAAACAAACAAAAAAGTTTTGGGGGGCTGGGGCTGTAACTCAGTGATAGAGCGCTTGCTTAACTTGTGCTAGAGCCTTCAGCTCTTGAAATTCTGTTCAGCAGTGCCCACTTCGCTGGGGAGCAATTACAGATGAACTAGCAGAGCAGACAGACAGAATATAGGACTTAGAGGATTTAATATCAACCCTGTTTATGAGAGATGCTGGACAATATCTGAATTACTGAGATGCGTGTGAATTAATACACATATGTGTGCTTTCTTTACACATTTTCTTACATTAGAAAAGTCAAGGACAGTAAAGTTACTGAAGCTTCTTGGTCAGGCTGTTAGAAACCACAGAAAAATACATTGTCTGATCTTTTTCAAATGCTAACATAGCATAGCATAGCATACCCACTCTATGAAATGCTGTGTCTAACAAAATAAGCATGTTATTCAAGTATGACAAGGATGTAACATCTCTTCTAGACCTCTCCAGAAATCCTAAATTTACTCTTTGGTAAAGGAATGTAAATCGAATGCTGGCACCGTGCTTCTCATCTTTTTCCTCTTATTTCTTCTTTCTCCCAGTTCATTGCAGCCAATGATAAGCTGTGGTTCTGGCTGGAAGTGAACTCTGTAGTAGATTTCTTCACGGTCCCTCCCGTGTTTGTGTCTGTGTACTTAAACAGAAGTTGGCTTGGTAAGTTGATTTCTTTTTCTTTTTTTTTTTTTTTTTTTTTTGCTTTTACAGGTTCCTGAACCCTGGTTGAAATAATAAGTCTAGAGTGGGTTGGGCTGGGTTATTCCTATAAAGAGAAAATTTTGTGTGTTAACATGAGCCGTTGTATAATTTTGAAGTTGATGGTGACACCTCTCTTTGGGATACTTGTCCAGAAGGACCTGCCCAAGTGGTGCTTCAGGTAACGTAGTTTTATCATTTTTGAATCCCAGTGATTATCAGTGTCACAGCCAGGACATCTGTGTTTATGATCCTGTCATTTTTCATTGAAGAATGTGGAGTCACGACTGGTTAAAGCAGCACATGGGAACAAGGCCAACTCTCCAAGTGGCTGGTTCAGGTGTCCCCAAATCCTGCTGCCAGTGTTAGTTTCTGTCTACTGTCTAGTTTTATGAAGAATGGATCCTGCTTGACCTATTTATAGTTACAAATCCTTTTGTGAGGCAGGGCAAGGAGTAGGTTTTCAAGTTTTCTGTCAGATTACTGAAATTCATTCCTGTATAGTTAAGAGTTTTTTCTGGTGCTGTGCTCAGCAGGTCACTTGCAGTATCTACTCAAAAGGTCACTTCCTGTATCTGCTCTAAGGTCACTTCCTGTATCTGCTCTAAGGTCACTTCCTGTATCTGCTCTAAGGTCACTTCCTGTATCTGCTCTAAGGTCACTTCCTGTATCTGCTCAGGAGGTCACTTCCTATCTGTATTCAGAGATTACTTCCTGTACTTCTCAATAGGTGACATCTTCTGTCAGATGGGAAAAGTAGCTTGCTCAGAGGATGGTCATGGTAACCAGGCACTTAGAGTGACAGCTTAAAAAACTATTTTTGCTTCATTGTTTAATTTTTTCCATACAGTCAAAGATTTTTCACTGCCCTGGTGTCTACTAGGGAAAAAAGAAGGCTTTTTTTTTTTTTGTGTGTGTGTGTGTGTGTTTTCTTCTGTCTTTACTTTGAGGACTTGTTTGGCTTAACTTTTTTCAAAGTAATGTATATATTGTGATTAGGGAGAACACTGAAAGACATACAAAGAAAATATTAATCAATTTTATCTGTCACAGTCTTTGAGATACTGGTGTTAACAAACTTTGACATCTTTCTTTTATGTTCATTTTACCACAAAGAAACACACATATGTGCTCACATAAAATAGTGTGTTAAAGGTAGTGGCATTTATATAAGAAACTGTATTAAATAATCGCAATGCACTGCAATTTGGCTGTTGTTACTGATATATGATAGACATTCCTTCAGCCCTACAATAATTCCATTTTATAAAACTTTGTAATAGTTGTATAAAATTTCATCATTTATTTGTATCATAGTGTGCACAGCTATAATCCTCATGATGAGCCAGTTAATATTTTCTTTCTTTTGCCACAATGTATGTTTTAGTAACCATCCTCAGCCATATAGTTGTATAACTCCATCTCTACAGAAAGTTCCACATTCCTGGAAGAAGAATTGCCGAGTCAAAGATTATACATATTTTATTTTGTAGATATTGATTGATAACATTCCAGAAATGTTGTGTCAAGATGTACTTCCACTTAAAAGTATGCTTTGATGTTGATAGAACTGTGAATTTATTATATACCTAATGTCAAATATTGTTCAAGTAAGCATCTTTAATAATAGTGTATGTCATAATCACATAGAGGCACAGACATACATGTGTATGCACGTGTGTATGTGTGTCTGTATCCTTATAAGGGCTCCATTTTTAAAATTATTTTTCTCATTAAAATTGTGTTTGCTTGCTCAATGGACAAGTTTCCTTGTTTTATCTGAGATGCACTTGCTTAGAAGGGATTTGGTTTTCCAGACAGAATGATGAGACCCTTGGAGTGATGCACCACTCGAAAGTGTGCTGAGTGTATCCCATGCGTGGCTGTGCTCCAGCTATGTCAGGCTATCTGTCAGCTGGTTCTGTGACACGGGGAACTCACTTTTCTTCACTTAGCTATTGTTTCCCCTCCATCAGGTAAACATCAGAGGAACTGACCTCTAATGTTCTCTCAGCTCAGGAAACCCATGACTCTTGAGTCATTAATGAGAAGTTGTGGAATTATAGTGATACCTTGATTGTTGAACTCCATTCATTCCAAATTTGTGTCCTAACACCCAAAAGTTTGGGAACTGAACATATTTTTTTTCACAAGAAATAATGGAAAACCAAATAACTGCTTCTGAGGCCCAAAAGTTCTATTTATAAATTCATTTTTTCGGGACTTTAACAAATTTTACACTGATTTCTTTCTTGAATGCAATCATAGTTCCCACAGTTTTCCTCTCAGCTTTACTGCTGGTATCACTGATTTTCTTTGGAGCCATGGTAATAATATTTTACACAAATAAAACACATTGGGCTTGGCAACTAAAAGCTCTCCATATTTTTAAAAAGAATATGCCGATGGACTTCATTTACTCATTAAGAACTTTGAGGCTAGTTGAAGTTTCATGTTCCTTCCAGCAATAACAATCCTGTTATTACCATCATGATTATCATGAATGAAAGTTCAGAACCTGATTTCAAATATGGAGGAAAAAAGCACCAAAAAACCCCACAAATACGTAACAAGCACAACGACGAATGTTTTTGTACACTAACTAAGAACCATATGCTGTCTATGTGAGAGTGGTGCTTGGAGCAGATATTTTTCAAACTTCACTGTTCAAGGAATGGAAAGTTGGAGCTCAGAACCCTTTGACAACCAAGGGATGGATCACTGTGGATTGTTGAGGGGAGGAATGGGACATTAGTGACATTAGCTTAGTAAAAATTTTACATACACTTTTAACTGAGGGTTACATACATTTTAACTGTTAGCTGGGCATGGTAGCCCACGTCTGTAATCCCAGCACTCAGGAGGCTGAGGCAGGAGGAATACTGTGAGTGTGAGGCCAGCCTGGGCTACAGTGAGTTCAAGGCCAGCCTGAACTGCACAGTGAGACCCTGCCTCAAAAGAAGACCAAAAATAAATAAGTATTAAGTCAAAAGGTTTCTCAGAGTTCAAATGCACACATACATATCTAATCTGCCCCCCAAAACTCCACATAAGTTGGGAAGAGAGAGGAGAGGAAGGAATCTGCCTTCCCTTTCTGGCTGTGCTTCAATGGCCCTACGCTCCTGAGCAACCACTGTGCTTGTTTCCGAATCTTCAGTCAATTCTCCTATTTGAAAAACAGGGCTTTGGGACTCAATCACCTTGCCTTCTGCTCATTTGATGAATCTGAATTTTCTGGGATGCACCCATTCCTTCTTTGAACCCCTGGGCCCTGGATGATTTTAGCAGCCCCTTCATGCCTGCGGTGGAGACACTGCAACAAGCAGAGCCTGCCCCAGTTAAAAGTGTTCAGCTAACTTTCCTTGTTGCTGCAAAATGTTCCTTAAACTATCTTGGTATCAGGAGGACTTGGATACTTTTGAATCCACAGGCTTCTTGTGGATGACTTAATCATGATGGTTGGAGGTGTGTTCTGATCTACTGACAAGATCTATTGGCATCAACAGAGGCAGGGAAATCTTCGCTTTTTTCTTTCTTTTACTGTTTTTTCTTTTTTCTCTTCCCTTTCTCTCCCCTCCCTTCTCTCTCCTTCCCTTCCCTTTCCCTCCCTTTTTCCTTCCTTCCTTCCTTTCTCTTATTGGGGGTGGTGGATTGAACCTAGGGCCTCATACATGCTAGGCAAACAGTCTATCACTAAGTTACATCCACAGCTCAACTGCACTTCCAATGAGCTATATATTGGCATCAACTTTGGTTGTTCTTTAAAAGAAAGTTACTCTGAAGTGTGTTTCAATTTGTTCATTCATTGAACAGTATTTATTGAGGACCTACTATTTGCCAAGTACTATTCCAGATGATGGGGAAATGACAGTGATGAAAATAAATGGAATACTGCCTTCCCATGATGTATTGAGGGGAAAACTGTGGACCTAATAAATAATAAATAGTGTAGCAGGTCAGGAAGCATCAGTGCTATTGAAACTGAAAACCTAGGCCAATGCTCTTTAGGGTCATGAAATATTAATAAAAACAATTACAAAATCCCCTCTCCTTTTGTGGGTGAAAATACCTTTAACGAACTGCTTTTGGCTGTTTGTTACCTATCATTAGGTATAATGCCAAACTGGTCTGCTTGTTCTCCCATACAGTAATTCAGTATAATGATACTTTGTGCATGTTCTTCTGTATGCCATACTATATGGGTTATTATGTTAGGAAATAATTCCTGTGCCAATGAGCGGCCAGAGGGAAAACAATGGACCTTCCAAGGCGGTTATGGCTTTCACAGGGCAGGAATAATTCCACCAAATGGGAGCATTTTCCACAGCTCTGTCTCCTTCCTGGGAAGCGGAAGGTGGTGCCTTCTTGGGCTGAGGTTTGGGCTAAGATATGAGAAGCTGAAATCTATCTAGTTCTATTTAAACTTTTGAAAGTGGAGGGTTGTGCTAGAGCTGGCACCATGGGGATAAAACCCAGAGTTGAGAGAGCCAGGGCCCCAGCCCTGACCTTAACTGAGCAGAACTCACATCGGGTTCCAGCTCTGACTGGTAACATGGGTCGCCTGTTATCCAGGGCAGTGTGGATTTACACTGTTGTGTGTAGCATCACAGCGCGCTGGCCAGTGTGTGCACGGGGACACGGGTGTGTACTCAGTTCTGCTGTGGGTTGGGTGCTCTGCTACTCTCTTTTGCAGAGCAAATCTAGGAGACAGGAATTATTTCCCCCACTTGCAGGTGAGGCAGCTGATGCTTAAGAGAGGTGAAGCCGTCTGTGCAAGTCACACAGCCCAGCAGTGGTGGACGGGTTGCTTCACCCCAGAGTTGGTCTGACCCTGTGTCCAGATCCTCGTTCCTCTCCTGTCTCTGACCTTAGCCTTAGAGGACTTGGGTTTGGAGGACTGGGTTTGGAATGACTGAGCAGATCTTGCCGCTTTCAGTTGGCATCTCTCCATCCCTTCTTAC